CAAAATCACTTTGCTGTACACCTGAAACCAACACACTATTGTAAATCAACTATACTTCAATTTTTTAAGAAAACAAAAAGGACTTGAAACATATAAGAGCATTTAAGGTTTACACAGCTATATATTTAATTTATTAGATTTATAAGAATTATTTAAGTATTCTGAAAAGACTCAGGTCAGATAACTGTAGTACCTGAAAAAGAAGATATATTAAATGTATACTGCAGTTTAAAACATCTAAGGCATTTAATTAACTATGGGATTGAGTATTATTCAGAGGCCCTCAAAAACAAGAGATAAAATGTTAGGCTTATAAATGGAATAGTCTTTATAAGCTAAATTTAAAAGCTTAAGTAAGAACTAGAGTTCTGAATTTAATAAATTGAATACTTATTTTGATCTCTAGCAAAGTAAAGTGTTTGTGACACACAAAAATCACCTTACAGAATAAACTCACACATTACAACACTAAGGATCATAGGAACATTCAGAGTGGAAGAGAAATGTGGCTCAGCTCTTAAGCAACCTCTGTTCTTTGGGGAACTGGAAAAGCTCAAGTTGTTGGATAAGCATCTGAAGACTGAGCCCTCAGGCCCTTTGTTCCCTCCAGCAGGCAGTGCAGGCCTCCCCTCCTCCCAACAAACCCTTCCTGTGTCCTCTGTGGGCCTGCCCGCCTGGGGCTGAGGCAGCACTTGGCTCCGGATACACAGGACCAAAGAAGCAGAAAGAAGGAAGGTAGGAGGGGTGAGATGGGGAAGGAGCGGAGGGGAAGCACACTGCATTTTCTCGAGGAGGCAGCCCTACATCCTAACAAGACTCTCTATGCAGGAGACACTACAGTAGAACTGCCTGGGCAGTAAACGACGGGGCAGAGAGGAGGTGCATGGCTGTGCCTGACCCCCCAGGAGGGAAGGAAGAAGCGGGCAAAAGAAGAAGGAAGTGGGGAAGAGAACTTTGTTTAAACCTGTCCTGTCCAACGCAGTCATTAACGACACGTGGCTAGTCTGAACTGAAATGTGCTGTCACTGTAAACTATATATCAGATTTCAGGTTTAGTAGGAAAAGAAAAAGCACACTATCCACTTAATAATTTTATATTGATTATTACATATTGAAATGATATGTTTGGATACATTGGGTTAAATAAAATATGCAATTAAAATTAATTTCACTGGTTCCTTTTCACTGTTTATTGGGGGGGCAAGTAATTAGGTTTATTTGTTTATGTATTTAATGAAGGTACTGGGGGTTGAACCCAGGATCTCCTGCATGCTAAACACTACCACTGAGCTGTATCCTCCCTCTTTACAGTTTTTTTTTTTAATACGGCTACAAAAGTTGAAAATTACCCACGTGGTTCATATTTCTATTGGACAGGGCTGGTTCAAAGAGCTCCCACATGGCCATCAGACGTTGGGTGCATGAACCCAAGACAGAGGAGCTGCTATTTAAAAATGGGCCCAGGGTGGGTGAGCTGTGTGGGTGAGGACAGCGGAGAAGGAAAATGGGCCAGATGGGAGTGAAGACAAGGAGGTAGTCAGTGTGTGGCAGTTAGTTCGCGTTTTAGTGGTGAGGGAGACGGGGGAGGAATTCTTGGACAATGGGTACACCCACAATGTAACAGGAAAGGCACTGCCCCCATTCCCTGCTCCAGAATATCAACTGATCGACGACCAGGACATATCCTGGAACTTCAGATTTGAAAAAAGAACTTAGAAACTCATTCAATCCTCCTCCCCCCAACACCCTTTTTTACAGATGGGGAAACTGAAGCCCAGAGAAAGAAAATGAGTAACTCAGAGTCACAGAGCTTCCCTCAAAAATCCTGATATTTTAAAGTTCAAAGAGCTAAAAGTCTGACCTTCCACATGGCTGCCAGACTTGACCATGGTATGCACGATATTTCTAAAGAGAGAGAAGGATGGACATGAGGAAAGAACAGAGTCACCAGGTGTTTCTATAGATCAGTAGTTCTCACCCCAGGGGTGATTTTTGTCCCCTAGAAAAAATTTGGCAACATGAAGAAATTTGAGGGTGTCACAGTTGGAAAGGAGGATTCTACTGTCATGCAGAGGGTTAGAGGCCAGGAATGCTACGAAACATCCTATGATCCACAGGACAGCCCCCACAACAAAGAATCATCCAACCCGAAATAGCAACAGTGCCAAGGTTGGGAATTCCTGCTATAGATGAAATTACAGCAATGCCGTTTGTTCCAGAGCAGAAGACACATGCGGAGGATGCAATGGGGGCTATTACTGCCCCCTCTAAACCCCTCCTTAGGCAGGGGTGGAGCACTGGGTGTGCCTATAAACATGGAAGAGCCTGCTGAACACTAGGGGATGGGAAGAAAGCAAGAATTACCAAGAAAAGGGCACTGCCTAAAGCCACTCCCTGTAAACCCAGCTTGGCTCCTCACCTCCACAGGGTCAGAGCTGACTCTGCCTCCATTTCACAGTCCATGAAGTGAGATAATCATTCTAAAATGCCCTGATGCCCCAACCAAACTAATTTTGAAAGGCTCTATGAAAATGCAACGTGCTCCTGAAATCTATCCTCTGAAATGCTTCTGAGCAAGATGGACTCTGAACCCTGTAGAACTGAGTCCAGGTATGTAGCAAGAGTTTGTGAAATACAAACCTGTTCGGAGTGGGACTGGGCTCAGAAAACTGAGGTTTGTGCCTGGAAGGGATCATAGAAGTCATCTATTTCAACTTGGAGAACAAGCTGAGATCCAGAAGAAAAAGTCATGAGGTTACATAGAAAGTTTCTTGATGTCAATTTCTATTGTCAATTAACTGAATATAGAGCTACCTTTTCCAGGGAATTAATGGAATTCAGAACTGAAGATTGACATCCTTTCTGAACCCACATCTTACAGCTGAGCCTACAGCAGTGAAATTCTCCATTTCTACCTTGTAGCTTTCACAAAACACTAGTTTTTCATGTATAATTATCAGTCTGAACTTTTTCAAACATTTTAATCAAGGTATCTCTCAATGTCTTTCTATCCGTCTTGGCATCTTTCCTCCAAAGTGTCTCAGCCTTCAAGGCAGGAGGGACGTTTCCTGTCCAAGTATTTGGGTTCCTCCTTCCACATTCCACTCCTGGGGGATGAGAGACTAGCAGGTTACTCCTGATTCTGCATCTGATTTCTCAAGGAAAACTCAGGCACTGCCCTAGGGAACAAACTGAATCCTGAATTTGAGGACACTGGCAGATGCAAGGAGCAGAGAGCAGCAAGAATGAGCAGGCCTGAGATCACTCCATGCACGAAGAGCAATTTCCCGCACGTACAGAAAGTGGAGGGCAGAGAGCACGGGGATTCAGCGCCAAGGGCAAGGCTCCCAGAGACGGCCAGAGAGTGGGGGAGATCGGTGCCAGCAGGTAGGAAAGCTCCTGGGACGAAACCTAACGGATGGAGGGAGTTGCAGCAGGCAGGCAGGGATCAGACAGGCTGCAGCAGCCAGGGAATCCTCTTTGAGGAGGAAGAGAGTGTCAGAAGACTCCTGGAGGAGGCGGCTGCCTCACCTGGGGCCCGGCTGCCGCGCTCTGGGCCGCCACCTCGGCTCGCGCAGCCCGGGCACAGCTCGCCAGTACCACGAACCCGGAAGGGTCGCCAGGCGCGGCCTCCACCAGGGCCACCTTCACAGACGTGGTGCCCAGGTCGATGCCCAGAGTGACAGACCCTGCAGCCATTGCAGAGAAGACGAGCGCAGCTTGCGTCCCAGGCCGACGCGCTCACTCCTGCACACTTCACCCTGACAAGGCGCTGAGGCGGGGCCTCGTCTGCCAATCTTTCTAGCCACACGCCACACAGGGAATTCTCGTCTTCCCATTGGTTGAGGGAGGCGGAGTGTCGAGCCACTCGAGCGACGGGCCCCGGCTATAGGCGGAGCGGCGGCGGAAGGCGGGACTAGAGGCCCCAAACCTCAGGACCGGGTTTGCGACTTCAACCAAGGCTTCCTCCTTGCTCATCCAAATACCTCGGGGTTCCCGGACGGGCTCTGGGGGATGAGAGAGTCTCTGTGTCCCTAATAGTGATTTATTACTCCCACAAACCCAAGCCCCTATCCCTGCCAAGTTGCCTGCGCCTCTCCGCTTCGCCCCAACCCCTAATTGTCCCGCTGAGACTCGTGAAAACTACAACTCCCAGGGTGCATCGCGCCAGATCTGTACTCCGTGAATCAGGTGGCTCGTGTCAGGTGACTTCTGACCCGCCCCACAGTAAGTCAAGCCGGCCCGGGGAAGCGGGCACAGTCTGAGGAGACTCCTGCGTCCCTTGTGGTGCGTCCCCTGAGCCTGGAGGATCTCAGGTGAGAGCCGGCGCGGCCCCAACAGTCTCCCCACTTCATTTCCCAGGCGGACCCCCTGAGGCCCGGAGGCAAGTCAGTTGGGCAGCCTGCCGCGCATCCAGCCCCTCTCAGCCGCGCCAGTCCCGGCCTCGCGGCACCGGACAGCCCCCGGGTTGAAGGGCTCGGGTAATAGTGAGCGGAGGCAGGAGACACCGGGCTGCCGAGGTGGTGTGGGGGGTTCTACTCCAGTGCAGGTTAGCGCCCCTTTCCCGCCTTCTTAGTTGCCACCTGAACCTGGGTCGTGGAGTTTGCAGAATGCTTTGCAGAGGGGAGACTCCCGAGAGGACCACTTACGGGACGCCTTTTGGGATACTGAGCGGCAGGCTGGGCTGCGGGAGAGTGGGCAGGATGAGACCTGGCACCGCCCTTCAGGGCTTTTAGGCCGGAGTAAGGAAGCCTGAACCTGGGCCCTGACTTTTTCAACGATATTGAGAATAACAACCTAGGCTTCGTGAGAGCTTGCTAGGTGCCCTAGGTAACAGGTGTATTTACTTTACATCATTGTTTCTCGGCCTTTTTTCCTTACCAACCCCCATCCCTTGAAATTTTAATACTGCTGGTAAACTCTGTTCATGTGCTGTGGCCCTTTGGAGGGCCAGAAATCCTGCTTAACATTTCATCTCATTTAAGTCCTATGACTTAGTTCTCACTGTCCCTGTTTTCACATTAGGAAGATGAAGTTTGAGGAGGTCAAGTAGCACCCCAAAGTCACACAACTGATAAATGGGGAGCCCAGCTTCAAACCCGTGCTGTCAGTCTCCAGGGCACGCATTCTTTGCCCTGGAAGTATTTGTATCACTTCTCCAACAGGAGATCCAGGGAGTTCCAGATTCCAGAAACCTGGTGAGTGGAGCTGCCACAGGAGACTCCTGACTCCAAGTTGAAGCAGGTGACATCTGAGTGAGGCCTGGAAGATAGAACTTACGCAGCATACTAGACAGAACCCATTGTAGTGAAATTCTCCATTTCTACCTTGTAGCATTCACAAGACACTAGTTTTTGTGTATAATTATTAACTTGATCTCTTTCTAACATTTTAATTGACCATGTATCTTTCAAGTTCTTTCCATCTGTCCTGATGTCTCATCCAAGGTGTGTCAGCCTTTGGGGCCAGGGGACTTTTGCCGTCCAAGTGTTTGTGTTCCTCCATCCACATTCCACTCCTACGGGATGAGAGAGGAGCTGGTTGGGCCTGATTCCGCATCTGAGTTCCCAAGGAAAACCCAGACTCTGCCCTAGGGGACAGACTGAATCCTGAGCTTGAGGACATCAGCAAGTGTGAAGAGCAGAGAGTGGCAGGAATGAGGGGGAGGTCATTCCACAGCAGAGCAATTCCCCCGCAGATCAGGGTACAGAAAGTAGAGGGGCAGAGACCCCGTGGATACGGCGCCCTGGGCAAGGGCCCCAGAGGAGACCATAGAGGGGACAGATCAGTGCCCGCAGGTGAGAAGGCTCCTGAGATAAGACTTAATGATCAGGTAGAGCTGCAGGGAGCAGAGACCCTTGGAGAAGACAGGGGCAGCAGAGGTCAGGCACGCTGGGTCAGGGAGCTTTTTTGAGTGAGGGGAGAATCAGGAGGGCCCTCAGGGCCTTTGGGGGACACTGAAACCCGAGTGGAAGCAGGGATGTTTCCACCCAGACCTCTCCTAGCTCTCTCACAGTTTGCAAGAATCCTCAGAAGCCATCAGAGGTGGCAGAGCCTGAGCACTGTACTCTGAGGCAGCATGTGGAAACCGAGTTATAGACGTTGAGCTGATCTGCCCATCTTGACCTGAGGTTCACCTGCCGTGCGCGGGGGTTATGGGTATGCAGCAGCCCATCTCCCTCACTTAACCGATGAGCTGCTCCAGGGCTGATCTGGGGCTTCCCCTCCCTGGGTCCCATTGTAAGTGATCCCTGCCCGTCCTGGAGTGATGACCCTTGCCCAGTGAAAAAAATCTTAAGGATCATTAGCCCATAGACACTTATCCCAGGATGGGAAATGAAATTCATTTCCTTAAGATTTATAGATTCACAAAGTCAAATATCTGACTGCCATTTTAATACCTTTTGAAAAAAAGAACCCCCAGGCAATAAGGCTGTATTCTTTCTTTCTGTTAACTAGGTTGCATGAAGCAGTTGAAGAGGGAAAAAGTTCAGTGTTTGTCCACTTCCCCAGGGTGGGACCTTACACAATCCGCTAGCTTCTCTGAGCCCATTTCCCCACACACCAAAAAAAGATAAGTCTTCCTCGGGGTCCCCTTCTCCCAGCTGGTGATGCAAAGCCCTGAGGTCACAAGTGTGAAGTGAAAGTCCTTTATGAACTGTCTGTGCCATGGTTCCAAGTGGCATATTGTCCACTTGTTGCTAAGCTGATCCAACTTTAACCTGAACTTCTCTTGCTGTTTGTTTTTCTTCCTAGTTCTTTGAAATCAAGGAACATGATAAGGAGGTGGCTGGTTATTTTTATCCTTTTGCCCCTGAAGCTCATAGAGAAATGTGGTAAGTTTAGAAATGCATTATCAAATGTGTAAAGAGGGGAAATGGAGTAAGGAGCTGACCTGTTTGCAGCCAAAGGTTTAGGGCCATCCAAATCACATGTATCTACCTGCCCCCAGGCTAGGTGGCCACCCAGGGAGTGAAGCAGACCGAGGTCTGGAGTCCAGGAGTTTTATAAGAAGCCAGATGGTTCCATAGATAATTGGCCTTCTGCCCCAGGGTCCCTATTACCTTTTCTGCATCACCAATGCCAAACAGTAAAGCTCCAAAAATCTGGGATAGTATCTGTAGAGAAGAGCTGATGTCCCCACCCTGTGGACCTCACAGAGGGAGTTATGAGATGCTGCAGAAGCAGGTGAGGTGGCCAGCTCATTGCACCTGGTTCTGCCAGGCACAGACACCTGAGGAGCCTGCCTGGCATCCCCTGGTAAGATCAGAAAGCCCTTCCCTTAGAGAGGGACTGAGGACCAGTGGCAGGACCACGCATCCTTGTGAGGCTTGACCTTCAGAAGGGGGCCCTTAAAGGCCTATGTCAGTCCATCAATTCTCCACTGCCCAACATTGCTGAAATTCCTTCCATGAAAAGCTGTGTAGAGCCTTCAAGATGCCAGGCCCGCTATTTTGATCATCACCTTGGCTGTTGTCAAAAATCAATACATCTTAAAGCCCCTGACTCAGGTTTCCAAATGAACCTTGTGCAAACAGTACAAGCCCTTGCAGAAGCTTCCTAAGAGGCATGCACAGTGGCTGCACCACTCCTGCTTTCTGGCCTCGTGAATCTCTGAGAAAACAGTGGTCATCTGATCAGCTCTTCCAGGTTTGTTAAACAATCAGTCATGTTACTTTGCAGACACACCTTGTGAATAAGCAATTTCTTAGAAAGAAAAGGTTTCTTCCAAGAAAGAGAGAACATGGTGGAGCCCGGTGTTCCTCAGTATGGATGCCAGGGCCCCATTCCAGACCTGCTGGATCATATTCTCTGGGACTAAGGCCCAAAAGTGTGCACACATGCCTTGGCGCACCTTAAATAAAAGCTTCATTCATACTGTTAATGTATTTCCCTCAGAAAGAACAGTAGATCCAGCTGGCACCACCTCAGTCATACAGAGGGCCAGCTTAGGCCCAGAGAGTTTAGAAGTCTTTCCCAGAGTCACACAGCTGGAAAGTAACAAAGATGGGACCCGAATAGGACCCCTGCTCCTTTTTATCACTTTGCCTTTTCCCCTGAATGTCATAAAGAATAGTAGGAGCCACCATAAGACCAAGGAACTGGAATTGGGTCTCTGACCTCATTCTGCCCTGCCTGTCTTGTCTTTGCTTTGGGGAGTGGTCATCCAGGACCAGTAAGGAGTTCTTTCACCTTCAAAGTTTTTGCTTCTGACTTCTTTGGGTGGAATCTTGAGATGCTGCCACCTAGTGGCAAGGACCTGAGCTCTGGACCCGGGTGACCTGGCTTTGAATCCTGCCTCTCCCATCTCTGAGCTGTATAGACAAGACACTCCCTCTTGGAATTCTCCGTTTTCTTCTGTCTGAAATAGGAGTCGCGTTGGCCACCTCTCACTGCTGTAGTCATCAGATAATGGGAGTTGACAGTGTAGCAGAGTGGCTGGCGTAGGGTGGGGAGCACAGTGCGGGAGGTGCCAATAAGGATTAGTTTTTTAAAAGCAGGCTCTCTCCTCTCTTTAAAAGCAGAAACTTAGGGAACCATCAAGACTCATTTGGCTATTTGGATGCAGTGTCCAGAGACTCATGCCCCAGGGGAAACATTAAAATGTGCTTTCCCAGGATATGATGTTGGCTGCCTAACTGCCTTCCATCCTGGGTGAAAAAAATGTCCTGCAGGGTTTACATGATGATGAGAATAGTCAGCAGCAATTATTTCATGCTCAGACCGTGTGCAAATTGTGTCACAAGCATCACAAGGCTTTATCTTCACAGCGCCCCTGGGAGGGAGGTGCTGCTGAGCTCCCCATTCACAGGTGAGGAAACGGAGGCTCAGAAAGGTTAAGTACCTTACCCGCGGTCACACAGCCAGGAAGTGACCAAGCCAGGGTGGGACTCTGTGACCCAGAGCCCAGTCTCTCAGCTGCGGAGGGCTGCCATCTTCGGCCGGCTAAGTGAGGGGGAGGGAGCACTCCAGGATCTGGTTCTCTGAGAGCTCACTGCCTCTTTTACAATGCAGAGTCTGTGGAAGAGCCAGGGCCACGCGGATCTCCCCTCACCCTGACCACAGGCCCAGCAGAGCCCCAGGAACCCAGAGGTGTCGGGGGCTGCCTGGCATCACTTTCAGTATCCCTGTCCTGGTCTTGCTTATCTAATGTCCTCAGCTCTAGGGAGAATGTAACAGTGAGGACCTTTAAGTCCTCCTACCCCCAGCCCCAGCAGCCCAGAACAGAGCTTCAGAGCTTCAGGCTGGTATCAGAAGGGTGAGTGTGAACAAGGAGGGGCAGAGCTGCCTCCAGGCCCTGAGGCTACATCTAAGGGCGGACTATCCACCATCTGCTCTGCTCTGAGCAGCTTGGCCTCCGCAAGGGCCAGGGTGGGAACTAGAGACGGTGGACTGTGGGAGTCACCTTGGAGACTTGCAGACACGGGACAGAGCCTGCGTCTGCATCCACGCACAGGGCCAGCATGGAGAAAGCAGCGCAGGTCTGGTTGGAGAGGTCCCAGGTCCTGAGTACAAGTTCCAGGTTGGCTGATTCCCTTGGAGGAGATGAGGGTGCTCTCTCCGGAGGTGTCTAAGCAGGAAAAACTCCCAGGGAGTATTGAGAAGGGAACTCAGGCAGTGGAGGTTGAATTAGGGAACTTCTAAGTTTCTTCCAACCTGAGCATCTCAAATTTCAGTTCTTCATCTTCTGTCTTCGAGGAGTCTGGGGAGAGGGAGACCTGGGCCCTGCCTGTAGCCCCTACCCCTGCAAGGACCATCTTCATCAAATCCAACACCTGCTTTTCCCCTGTGGGCCCCCTTCCCACCCAGTCTAGATTCATGATCTCGGTTTAAGCTGCTCATCACCCTGAAGGCCCTCAGATAAGGGAGGTGAGGTAGGTGGGTGCCTGGGGCATTGAGCACACCTGGGACTGGGGGCGGGGGTGGGGCTGCCCTGAGAACACAGGAGGAGATCAGAGAGAAGCTGTCTCATTCCTGTTCTGTGGCCAGGTTGCCCTGGAGTGTTTGGACTCCTAAAACCTGCTTCCTCCTTCACCCCAGAGGCCTGCCTATCTCCCTTCTCCTGAGTTAGCACCTTAATGCCAAGAGGAAATCCCCAAGAGTGAGTTGAATTGTTCACCAGTCTCCCCCAAGTTCCCAGAAGAGTCAGCCTCCTGAATGGGTCCAGCGACCGGGTTGAGCTGGGTCAGTACAGGAGCCCAAAGGGTGTTGTCTAGAAGCGGGTTAGCTGGGCCGCAGGTGTCTCTGTGAGATTCCAGGAAGGGGCTGGACTAGTTCTGCAGGGCTGTTTTAGATCCACGAACAGAGGAAACCCTTGCGCTTTATGTCTGAAGAGGTGGTTCAAGCCCACGTTTTCCGGTCCAGATCGGGGCTTGAATGCCTTTGTGACCAATTTTGGGAGCTCTGTGATTTCTGTTTCCGGATGACTCCCGCAGCCCCTCAGAGCCTGTCAGGGAGGAGGAAGGTACAGCATTTCCCGTTCAGGCCCGTGTCTCCCTCAGCAGGAGGGCAAAGAGCTTAATGAGGGCATTTCCACTCCCATCACTTAGCCTCTCAGAACCTCTGTATCTTCACCTAGGATATAGGGGTTGTCATGAATCAGAGCTCACAAGTTCAAGTGTCAGTGTCATCCCAGTGTCTCCTCGTGGGCCTGAGTCCAATGACCTAATGATTCATGTCATTGATTTGGGTCATTTCAGAGTCGACTGTCAGCTTCACTGTTCCTCCCACCGTGAAGCTGGAAAATGGAAGCTCAGCCAGCATCAGCATCTCCCTTCCGTAAGTCCCCAGGCCCAGCTCTGTCCTCCCCGCTCACTCACCCCACAGCTGGGTCAGGGCTCTCAGCCTGTCCATATTTCAAGTGTGATGCTCTTGCCTCTTTACTCTAAAATAAGCCAGGGAAAGAAAGGCACCAGCCCTGGGCCACAGACAAAGGTCCCAAGGTCTCTCTCCCCTCAGTCACTGAATCCTTGTTTCTGGTGGGAAGAGGAAGACACATGAGCCTTTTCCCCAGCTGCCTTACTCTTGCCTCCCAGCCATGAGGATTCCCCTGTTTTTCTCTCTTTACCCTTCTCCCTTTTCCTCACCTCTCCTGGGAATTCTGATCTTAAACCAGAGCTTTGGGACCAAGGCTCCCCAAGAGACCTGCATTCCATTCCCAGCTCCTGTCCCCTCTGTGTATTGACACCTTGTAAATCCAACACATTACCCCCTCAGCACAACTCTCCTCTCTGCAGAATCCTTGAGCGGCTTTCTACCACCTTCTAAATTAACTCCAGGCCTCTAAGCCCAGACTGGAGGCCCCCAGGGGCTGCTCTCACTCGGACACATCTCACTGCTTTCAGGGGACACGCTGCTCCCTGCTACCTGACCCCTCTCGGAAGCCTTTCCCACCAGAGCAGATGCCATGGTCCCATTGGCTTCTGGACACTTCGTTTGGCATTCACAGGCAGTTTCCCACTTTTTCATGTTCTCACTCAACTGTGATGGGACAGAAGACTCCTAAAGAATAGGGACCTCACCTGTCAACACCCCCGGGCCAAGCACATAGCACTTCCTCACTGTAATTGCTTGAGAAATGACAGGCCCACTGTGAGATCCAGAGGGCTGGTTGAGATCTCACGGAGTCCAGCTTCCCAGCAGTAATCAGACTCTTGTCCTCCACAGGCGTCCTTTAAATGCCACCTTGGTGATCACTTTTGAAATCACATTTCGTTCAAAAAACGTTACTATCCTTCAGCTCCCTGATGAAGTAAGTAATGAATCTTCACTGATGGGCAGAGAACTACTGGATAACAAAACACATTTTAACTAAGTGCTTGTAGAAACAGGCCACCGTGTTTTTATACTGTGGGCAGCTCCTGTCACATTGTTCTAGAAATGTCTGATTTTTGGCTTTGGTAGTCTCTTTGAGGATGGACGTTTTACACCATGTAGATGGAATTGGGAAGGTGATGGTTCTGAGAATGTAGAAGACACTCTTGAAATGGTTTTCTAAGACCTTGCTACTCCAAGAGCATTCACGGACCAGCAACATTGTCCCTGCCTAACAACCTTTTAGAAATGTCCCCTCCCAGGACTGCCGATTAAAGATCTGCATATAAGCAGGACCCCCAGATGATTTGGGTCCACAGTATAAGTTTGGAAAGCACTGTTTTGAGGTTCCATTGGCTGAGTGTTATTTCCAAAAACCAGTGCCAGAGGCCGTCTGGTATCATAGTGATAACTATTTGTAGCCTTTATGCATTTATCTGTTTATACATACCCTGCTTCCACCTTACCAAGGATTTGAGCCAGTTCCCAATCAACTAGATAAAAAAAAAATCAGTAGGGGGAAGCAACAATGTAGAGAGTAAAAAATAAATAATTTTTTTAAAAAGCAGACAAGATAAAAACGGATGAAATTGATAACCATGAGGCTCAGCAGGAGGTGTGGTTGTAGAAATGGGCTTCACCTCAGCTCTGAGACCCCAGCAAGCAAACAGCACTGACCCGTGATCAGATAAAGAGTGTCTGCCTGAAAGGACCTGCGTGAGAGGGGAGTCTCATCTCAGCCCGTGGTGAACAGCACACCTCATTAGACAGGCCCATTTCCCACAGCTTCCCCGTCCTGCCCTGGAGTGTGAGGCCTGCTGCAGGGTAAGAAAAGCCCTTGGTTCTAATAGCAGCTTGTGGCGCTCAGCCCTCCGAGGTCTGGTTTGATCCACAGATCAGATTTAGACTCTGAGGCATGGATGCTGATCACTTAGTGTAAGCGCCAAACATTTAAGTGAAAGTATCATCTTTTAAAAATAAGTGAAAGTCAAGCATAACCTTAAGGGGGGAAAAAAGCCTGGACTGTATGATTCTTTGTGCATAAAGTACAAACACAGAAAAAGCGAACCTATGGTGTTAATCAGAGGAGTGGCTTCCCTTAGGGATCAGCTGTGACTAGAAGGGAACAGAACACAGCCTCTGGGGTCAGGAAATGTTCCATTTCTTGACCTGGGTGCTGAGTGCACTTTTCTACACATATATTATAGGTTTTGTTTTTGTTTGTTTGTTTTACTGGAATGGTGGCAGGTGCATCTGTAGAATGACCTGTATGGGCACCAACTCACTTTTCCAGGCTCGTGCCTCCCTGGCCTCCCCCGCAACCTAGCTCTGACCACTCCTGTCTGCTCCCCGTGCCTTTGAAAACCACCGGTTAGAGCCTGGGGCCCAGGCAGTTTAGGAGCCTGACCTGCAAGCCCTGGGCAGGGTACTTCCCCTGACACATCTCAGTTTCCTCTTGTGGACAGAAGGTTAATATTACCTCCTTGACAAGACCACGAGGACAAAAAGCAGTAGCAAGTATAAAACGTGTAGGATTGGACCTGGCATGTAGAAAGAAAGCAGTCAGTAAGATGAGAGCGATGAATTTTGCTATAGACCTAAAACTGCTCAAAAAAAATATGGTTTATTCATTAAAAGAAAAAAAAATGTAGGGACAGTTGATTTCATTCTGCCTTGCATCAGTCCATTTCCAATTGGCCGATCTTCCTCCTGCCTAGCTCTGGAAGGGACTTGGTGGCCACTTAGAGATATGCAAGCAACATGGCCAGGAAAATCTGCTAAAAATAAGAGTAAATGAGGATGGGGGAAAAAAAGAGCCAAGAGTAGTTCACATCGTGAAGATGTAGCTCACAAGACATTGGCCTCAGATTGGATCCCAGGCTTTGCTGCAGCCACATACACCATCTTGTTTGTCCTGCCAAAGCCCCCTGATTTCTGGGGATAAAAGCAAAAAGACAGTGTTCCGGGGTCACTGAGGAAGCCACTACAATCCAGTGAGCCGCATCCTCACGGTGCCCATAATACAGGTGGAAGGTGGGGCCCAGAGCATCGTCCAGGGAACAGAGAGGTGGGGGGAGGGGACAGTGTGGTTCGGGAGGGTATCACCCTGCTCCCTCCCACACTTGGGGAATTTGAGAGCACCAGGAGGCATGATTGGGAGATCAGATGTTGCAGGCTGGCCTCCAAATACTGCTTCTTGGAGCAGAATTTTCAGTGAATATTGGGCAGAAATGAGGGTGAAGATGTTCTCCCTGCTGGTGTCTGGGGGGTGCACCTCTTCTGTGTTGTCACTTGGCAGCCAGGCTGGGCGTGGGGCAGACATCCTTCTGTGGATCTGGAGGAACTGTCCATAGTAGCGGAAGTGGAAGTGGTAGCAGTCATCGTAGGGTCTGAGTGATGGTAAATACTTCACAGCTTGCTGTGTGTCAGGCTCAGTGCCATAAGCTTTACGGATGTCATGTTCAGAGCAACCCTGTAAGGTAGACACTTGTGTTATCCCCTTTCGCAGATCAGAGCTCAAATAATTTGCCCAAGATCACATGACTAGTGAGAGGAAGACAGTTCTCCCACCTTCCTGAAGAGACAAGCCGGGGGGAGGGTCTGCGGGCAGGGCTGGTCTGCTCAGAAAGCCGGACCCAGGTCTAAGGGGGGTTCCAGTTGGCTGATCGGTCCAACATTTCTCCCTTCTGTTTGGAAGCTCCTAGAAGGCAGAGTCTGTGCCATCTGTCCCTCCATTCCTTAGTGCATAGCCTGGAGCTGGACACTAAGTGAGGTCCGAATAACTACGTGGTGCTGAATCTAATTCGTCTTCCTAACAGGTGGTAGTGCCTCCCGGAGTGACAAATGCCTCTTTTCGCGTGACGTCTCAGAATGTTGGACAAGTTACCGTCTATCTGCATGGAAATCATTCCAACCAGACCAGGTAGGCTGGTCTTAGCCCATGTGGGCCTTCAGTGAGAAGGGAGCCCGTGCTGGTACATGGGGGCTCCTTTGTAAGCCCAGCCTCAGCTCATCCGGGTCCCCACATCCTCTCTAGCCCCAGGATCCGCTTCGCCGTGATCCACAGCAACGTTGTAAGCATCATCAACCAGGTGATTGGCTGGATCTACTTTGTGGCCTGGTCCATCTCCTTCTATCCTCAGGTGATCACGAACTGGAGGCGGAAAAGGTAACCTACAGAGCTGCACGTGCAGGTTAGCTTGTGGCCGGTCAGACGGGCATTCCAGCCAGGCTGTAGGCAGCATGGGTTCCAACGTGTCCCTGGGCTCTTCTCTCTTCCTGCCTTTTCTAGAAAATGGTCCAGTGTGAGAGGTCTAAGAGCCTGCGTAGGACTTGCAATGCTAGGCATTTGGTCTCTTGCCTGATTCAGCCCTCCCTGTGGAGGGCTTCTCAGTGAAGTGGAGAAGGGGCCAGGTGAGGGGTCCACTCGAATCTGCAGTGCTCCTGCTTCACCCAGCCCTGCAGGAATTAGTGTCAAGTTGTGCCCTAGTGCAGGAGTGGGACGAAGTCAGCCCACTTCAGTTTTAGAGACAGAGGGTCCAGGCTTACATCTCCTTGCAGCAGGGACACCAGCTCCCTGCTGGGAGCCAGGGAGAAAGGCCCTTCCTCTCTGCAGGAGGCCTCCAGACTTCCCTCTGGGGCCAGGACCCGAGGCAGGAGAAGTCTCTGGAGGGAGGGAAGGAAGGGGTTCCCTGAAGGGCGGGATTGGATGTGTCGGGGGTGGCATGGAGAGGGATGTGAAGACCATGCGGGAGCCTGGCCCTCCTTCTTGTGTCTTGGGAGCTCTGTCCCCTCCAGTCCCCAGTGGCCCCCGGTCTCACCCCTTGCCCTACTGTGTCTCTCCATCCCCCCCAGTGTCATTGGTCTGAGCTTCGACTTCGTGGCCCTGAACTTGATGGGCTTCGTAGCCTACAGTGTGTTCAACATCGGCCTCCTCTGGGTGCCCTCCATCAAGGTACCACGCTTCCCGCCCCTGCAGCCCAGCCCAAGCTCTCCAGTGGCCTGGCTGCCCCTCACCCCCTACCTTCTCCCCGCCCCCAAACAGGAGCAGTTTCTCCTCAAATACCCCAACGGCGTGAACCCTGTGGAGAGCAATGACGTCTTCTTCAGCCTGCACGCCGTCGCCCTCACGCTGGTTGTCACAGTGCAGTGCTTCCTGTACGAGGTGAGCCGTGAGCCTTGCACCTGCCCTCTGCGGGCTGCTCAGGCCAGCACCCACATCGCCTGCCTGCTGAAGATGCAGAAACTCCCAGAAGGGAAATGTGTCTGTTCCTCACACCTGCTCCCCGGGGTCTGGATAATAGGCCAGTCCCCATGCTGGGCACAGGGAACACCGAAGCCCTCAGGCCCCCCAGGTCTGGGGGTGAGGGACACAGAGGGAGCAGTGACGACCCAGCAGGCTGTGAGCTGAGCAGGCAGGGAGAGCGCAGGCAGCTCGTGGAGGCCCTGACCCAGCCGGGGAGGAGGGGAAAGGAGGACATCGAGGAAGTGGCACTGAGTTGCGGTCCATGGGACTGTGGGATGAGCAAAGTTCCCATGGTGATGGGGAAAGGGGAGGTGCACCCCAGCTAGGGGACAGAGCTGTGAAGGCCGGGGAGCAGCGAGAGGAACCATGAGCAGATGGATGTGGCCTGGGTGCCAGTGCAGGGAGCAGGAAAGGTCCTGGGGGTCTGGAGGGCCAAGCCGAGGAGCCTGGGCTCTCCGCCGTGTTGCTGGAGGGCCGTCTGCTGTCCCAGCAGGAGGGTTGGCGTTGGCTGGTTCTCTTTTCAGGGCATCTCCGATGCTGCTGTTTTCTTTCTCTTCCCCAGGGGGCGCACCTCTTCCCTTGGGGAGTTCCCTTCCCACACCAAGGCCTGCCAGGGGCTGCATGGCCCCCACCTTCACAAACCTATGTTTTCTTACCCTTTGCTGAGAAGCTTAGGTGAGGGAGGCCTGCTTTGGGGAAAGGCAGGGGTGGAAGACAGATTCCAGGGACAGTCAGGCTCCCCTGGGTGGTGGAAGAAGCCTGGGCTGGGATGAGGTGCCAGGCCTCCAGCATGAGGGCGGCCACGTCCCCAACACCCTTCACCCCTGGTGGGCCCTGCAAGGGACCCAGTTCCACAACGTGGGAACAAGAAGCAAACAGGCTCTGCCAAGTCCAAGAAGGACGGAACTAGAGACCCTGATGGTGACGGTGTGTTTGGTGCTGGGCTTTCTGCGCCCCACCCCTCCCTGTCTCATCCTCAGCGAGGGAGCCAGCGCGTGTCCTGGCCTGCCATCGGTTTCCTCATGCTCTCCTGGCTCTTCACGTTCATCGCCCTGATCATGGCCGCAGTCGGGGCCACCACGTGGCTGCAGTTTCTCTTCTGCTTCTCCTACATCAAGCTGGCGGTGACGCTGGTCAAGTATTTTCCGCAGGTACCTCCAGGGCCCGCCTGACTTATCCCGTGGCCATTAGTACGAGAGGGGTGAGACGGACACCGCGTGCCCTGCTCCCATGGGGCAGCCTCTGGTCAGGGCGACGAGACGGGGTGGAAAGCTGCAGGGAGGAGGCCAGCGAGCCCAGCAGAGCGGGGCCTGAAGCCCCCCGTGACCACTGCATGCTCTTCTCTGGGACCGGGACTCCCACAGGAAGTCAGTGGGAACTTTTCTGAGCTCACATTCAGCACTGAGAGTCAAGGTCATGTGCTCAGTCTCTCTCTTTCCTCCTTTCTAATGACTTCAGTTCTCTCCCTACCTTACCACCACCACCCATTCCCACCAGCTGACATCCCTGACAAGCCACAGGGGGATCCTGGGGAAGATGAGATGGGAGCGGGGAGACCATCGCCATCCACGGTTCTCCTCTTGGGCCCTCAGGGCCTCGAGTACTCAGACAGTCCTGGTCCTATGCGGGTCAAACACAGCTTCCCCCAGAGCCAGAATGGCCCAGCACAGGGCCGGGAATGTAGGAACTGCAAGCTACAGACTCTTCCCATGAATCTAGTGCCCCATTCCCAGGGGATAAGCCCCCTCTTCAGCTTCCCCAGCACTGGGAATCTTGTGCTCTTTGAGCTTAGGAAGGAAAGCGTCTTGGCCAGAGTCAGGGCTGCTGTCCCAGAAGGCATGGAAACAGCCAGACCCTTAGGGATGAGCAGGACTCAGTTCCGTGGACCAGAGAGGAGGGGGCACCCCAGGCCAGGGTGGACTGCACAAAGTCCTGGGCAGAGAGGCGTGGGAGGCAGCCAGGAGACATTGCCGGCCAAGCGGTGCTGAAGCTCAAAAGGCGAGGCCAGGTCCTGGGGACTTTGCAAGGAGGCCTAGGAACAGGGGAAGGTCCTGGGGGAGGTGGGGCTTCAGTCCCTGAGTGTGGGAAGGCTCAGGCCTGGGAAACCTGCAAGGCAGTAGCCCCAGGTAGAGATGTTTGGAAGCACCCAGGACTGAGGAGGTAGCAGCAAGTATGGAAGAGGGTGGGAGAGGACGAAGAAGGGGACTTGACAGGCGGCTGACTGGGAGAAGACCACTACAGAGGCCAAGCCATCCCTCCAGGTGCTGGGAAGGGAGGTCACACCAGTCAGAGGAGCCCAGAGGAAGGACGTGGAGCACTGGCAGCAAGAAGAGGGGCAGCGTCCATGTGGGTGAGACCTGGGAAGCCCAAGGTGGAGGCCCCAGAGCCCAGCCAGGGCTGAGGAGGGAGTTAAGTCCACTCAAGATGCGGAAACCGAGGCTGGGAGAACTCAAGGAAACATAGCTCTGAGAGTGAAGCTGGGATTCCAAACCAGGCATTCAGACTCCCAGCCCATGTCCCAGGCACAACATGAAGCCCAGGCAGAGTTTGGGGGAAATCTCCACTTGAAGATGAAAAGAAAAATCAGAGTTGCTAGAAAGCCAGGGTAGGGAGGGATGAAGAAGACAGAGCAGCATCTCCCAGTCCCTCCGCTGGATTGGGAGGTGCAGGGATGGGAGGAGGGGGGCTCTGTTTGCTGTGCACGCAGACGAGTCCCCCCAGGACCCGCCCAGGCTGTTCCCGGAGCCCAGGCTTGTCGGAGCCCAAAGGTCATTGTGTTTCTTGGAGCTGAGGTCCAAGCACACGAGTGGGAGGAATGAGAGCCGCTCTTGTTTGGAGCCGTGGTCATGAGGTGCAGGAGGCCACCACCCAGCCCCCTCACCGCCCTCTGTCTGTTTGTCTGGCCCAGGCCTACATGAACTTTCGGTACAAAAGCACTGAGGGCTGGAGCATTGGCAACGTGCTTCTGGACTTCACCGGGGGCAGCTTCAGCCTCCTCCAGATGTTCCTCCAGTCCTACAACAATGGTGAGTCAGCCAGCAGGCTGCTGCCCACACCTGGCAGGCTGGAGGCACAGGGCGGGGGCCAGGCTTCCTGAAAGCTACATCCCCACCCTGCTCCAGGAATCCAGGCCAATCCCAGACCCCAGGGTGAGACTCACCTAGGGGCTTTTGCAGCTGGAGAGTTTGTGGTTTCCTGGGCACATGAGCACCCCCACCCCACCGCAGCCCCACATGCTCCAGCTGCTGCCAACCTAAAACTAAAACCAATTCTGTCCCCTCTGGCCATTAACAGACCAATGGACGCTGATCTTTGGAGACCCAACCAAATTTGGACTCGGCATCTTCTCCATCTTTTTCGATATTGTGTTCTTCATCCAGCACTACTGCTTGTACAGAAAGAAACCAGGGTATGACCAGCTGAACTAGCTCCCAGGGACCCAGCATAAGCAGCCTGGGCCCTGTGCCCTGGCAGGGAAGGCTCCACCAGCAAGGCTGGAGAAGCAGTCTGGAGGGCAAGGCTGGCTCCAGGTGCCGGAAGTGGAGAAGCACCCTCTTCCTCAGGGCCAAACGCCTTAAACCAGCCTGCCTTCATTCAGGACTCTCCCGGGCCAGGGAGGAACCTCCCTCTGGGACAGGCACTGGCTGGGCTTTGAGATTAAAAGCCAAACCACTGGCGGCCCCTCCCTGCCTCCCCAGGGGTCAGCCCCTCCTGGGCCTTACCGGCCAGGCACCTGGCCCTCCTGCATCTTGATGCTGCATCTCTATTTTCTTTAAGGCTTCAGGCAGCACACACAGGTCCTGGCAGCCGTCCCAGGCAGGACTGAACATTGAGCTTGGAGCAGACAGCCTTGCCCCAAGCAACCGGTGTTTCTGGGAGCAGCTTGAAGGACTGACCTTGCAGCTGGGAGAGCCAGGTGTGCTCTGCTGCCACTGCTGAGTTCAGAGACCAAGCAGCCAGGTGCTGTGGCCGATAGACCCAGAGGTGCTGGTGCTGGTGGCGGAGGGGCTAGGACCTTGGGGTAGAACTTGGGGGCCCTTCTCTGAGCACTCACCACCCTGACACTCACTCATGCTATGTAACTCCACTTTCACGAGTGCAATCACAGGTGGCCCAGGCCAGGGTCTGGTAAAGAAACAGTATTTCCAAGCCTTAAGGTGCCCACCAGATTGGTTTGGAACCGGTCTCGCATCCAACACCCTCTGGATCTCCATCACACTAACGACCCCTTTTGGATTTTTCAGAGGGACGCTTTTGAAGTAAGTGGCTTACAGCCTTACTGCTTTCTGCCTACCTCCAGTTTCCCAGCGTCAGGCCCCACGTCAGCCCCTCTAACTGCTCCTTACCCTGGGTCTGCTCGGAGTGCAGGGGACAGACGCACACATGCACGCACACACACCAGTCTGTGCCTTAGAGGCCTGTTAGACCTGCCGGGTGGTGAGAGTAGCTCTCCTGAAGGGGAGGGCAGGCCCCCTTCCCTCACTTTCCCCAGACCCCTACCTGAGACTCACCAATTTGTGGCTGTTCCGAAGCTTCAGATAAGGACTTAAGACCACCTCACATAATCTTCATGGACCCAGTCTGATCCCAAAGCCCTTCCCTTCCCACCAATCAGGTGTCCATCCTGTGGCAGGAGGGGAGGGTCCCAGGACGTGCCTTGTACGTGCCTTGAGTTTGTCAATCCACTCTCAAGATTTGTTTACCAAGAGAATAACAAGAGGCTTATGTCCTTAATTAAACCTGATTCCTTTCCTCTCTGCACACTGAGCGTTTGCCAGATGCAGGAGGCAAGCGTGTTGGCTTCAGAACCAAGTCCCTGGGGCTCAGGGAGACGGCCTCACTCACTCCATGTAAGAAAACGTGTGGGGTTGCCAAGTTCGCTGCTCCCAAGGTGGCCGTGTGCCGACCCGGCACTTCATCAGGAGAGCCCTGTTGGGTGGCACAAGACACCTACCTGCTTAGGGCCAGGTAGGTCCCACAGGTACCATGTCTGCATTACCAAAGGCACAGCACTCAGGCTGCAGTTGTGAGCACAGGTTGGATGAGGCCTTTAAGGGCATGTGGTGGAGGAGGGTCTTCCAGATTCTTCCTCTGTCCAGGTATCAATTAGGATCTCCTTTCCCTAAAGCAGAGACTGCAGCCTGACCAAACCTACACACCTGTTTTATTTGGGCCACCCAGTGGGTGACGGTATCACACGTTAGAGATGGGAAGTTACAAGATCTGACTTGGCGGTGCAAGGTGGGTCACGAGCGGCAGCAACACTAATGCAGCCAGCACGGGCCAGGCAGCAGCCCTAGTGCTCCCCAGCTCACCCCCACCTCATCCCCATCTCATCAGATCACAGCCCCTGGAAACATTTGGGGCTACATCCCTGGCTGTGATAAACAGTGCTCTGAAGTCTTAGCAGTGGGTGTTTTCCCATGAACCTCTTGGTGTTTGTGAGGCCCCTCCCTAGTGGGAGCTGAGGTTAGATTACACAGGTGCAGTTGGGGGCTCCCCAGCCCAGTTCTGGTGAAGGGACTCAGACATTCTCACCTGGGCGGCCCTGCCAAGCAGCATCAGCAGGCCTAGGAATAGTCGGGCTTTATCCTGGATTGGCGGTGAGGGGAGGGGGCGGTGAGGGGCAGGTCAGCCAGCCTTCAAACTAAAGGCCTCACAGTCTACCCCCAAGTAGCCCTGCCCCGTGTCTCAGCAAAGACCCCTGGAGAATTCCAGCTCTGTTTATTGGGCACAAGATGTAGGGCAGCTTCCTACTGCCCCATTTCCATAGGAACCAAAGTACAACTGGTTCCCTTGCTAAGAGTAGTTCCCAGATGTGAATTAGTTAAGCTACATTCAAAAGTTGAACTGGCATCTCTAAACAGTCAGATAAAAATGTTTTGTATCAAAGTTGTGATTAAAAAAATACAAAAGTTAAACCCACAGGCATAGAAGAAAATGGCAATCCTGAGAACTGCTCTGAAATGTCAGCCTCGAGCCTCGTGTAAATCCTGTAAGCAGGTGAACCCTGGGGAGGCCAGCGCCCCTCAGGGTGGGAGGTGGGGAGGGGGTGCGATGGGGTGAACTGTGAGCCTGCCTGGCTTCCATCCAGGCAAACCTTCGTAGTACTTCCGGCAGTGAGTCAAGTTCCCGCGGGGGAACGTGGGGAAAAGCATGCGGCCCAGCCCCTGCGGAGCCGAGATGTGGGGCAGGGTCTGGAGTTCCTGCATTTCCCAGTTACGTGGTGCTCACAGGAAGTGGGGTCCCCTGCTTGCCTGGGCACTGCTGTGGCCAGGCAGCAGGGTCTGGGGCCGAGCCTGTGGTCACTACGGACTGACTCCAACTTGGCTTCAGGCCCTTATTTCCAATCCTCACTGTCCAAGGGAGAGAGCTGGTCCCAGAGCCTCAGGCCAGTGGTGGGAGAGGGGAAGGCCAGCCAGGTCAGGCCTCTGGGACCAGCTCTTGCCCTTCGGAGCAGGGGCCCAGCCACCAGCAGAAGCCAGGATGAGGGGCAGACAGCGTGGAAGTGGTGTCACTGTACAGAGGCGGGCGGGCACGAGCCAGGGGCCGGGGCAGCTGCTAGGACAGCATGGACTGCTGCACCGCCTTCTGCAGCGACTGCCGTGTCACCAGCAGGCGTACCACCTCCTCCGAGCGCTTGGTGAGCCGCTTCCGGGCCTGGTCGTGTGTGACCATGGTCATGTCCCAGCCGTTCACCTGGCCCAGGGAGAGAACACAGCCCACCTCAGCTCGCCGCCCTCAGGGCTCTGGAAGCAAAACGAGCTTTGGGGGGCCTGGGTCACCCAAGCTGATGTCCCCAGGCTGGGGGGACACCAAGCACCACCTCATATACACAGAGGAGAGAGCCAGCTTCCTCCAGGGGAAAGGCCAGCATGGGCTCCAGAATGGCTTTGGTGAGTCTCCCAGTGCCACCCCCCACCCCTGAGTGCTTCAGACCCTCTGGCCCAAGCCTTGTTTTCCTCCTCTGCGACATCTGTTACCTGCATGATCTTGTCTCCAATCTGCAGCCCAGCAATTTCTGCAGGGCCTCCTTCAGATACCCGCGTGACGTAAATGCCCTGGAGAGAGACAGTCCAGTCAAGCGCGGGATCAGTGGACTGGCCCTTATCCACAGAGCAAAGCCCAGCAGGGCATACTCCTAGCTGTCCGTCTGTCCCGCTCCCAGCACAGGCTGTGCTGAGACAGAAAAGGGGGAGGTGGGGCGGCCGCACAGATGCTCCAGTGCCTGTTGCTGGCCTCCTGGGCTCTGAACAGGCTTTCCTAGCACTGGGAGGGAAGGGAGGGCTGGGAAGCCCACTCCCCACCTCTGCTTATTCCCACCGGATCATTTCTTGGACCTTCTGAGAGGGGACTGAGAGAGATGAGGTCTGCTCCTTCCGCAAAGGCTCAGGAAGCAGGGACCCACCATTTTAGGCCTCTGTGCCCCACAGAGGTCCCCAGACCCTAGACCCACCTCACCTTGTCCGTCTTATCTTCTGAGAAGGGATTCTGGGAGGGATCCTGGTCAATTCCACCTCCAATGCTGAAGCCCAGGATTAAGTTCTCACCTTGACGCAGCTTGTGAATTTCAACTCTTTGCTGGTAAAGATAAAAAAACGAGTTGGGGGTGGGTGGGTGTGGAAAGCAAATGTGGTCTGTGTCCCCAGTAACAGCCTCAGGTGGCTGAGTCTGCTCAGAGCTCAGCCCTGGGGGTGGGGCCCTGGGCTTTCTGCAGGAATCCAGCTGGTCACCAGCCTGGGAGGCTGGGAGGTTGAGACTCAGAACTCAGCCACATCAACTTACCCACACATCCCTCTGTCCCAGCCTCTCCCAGCTTCTGCACCAGCTTCAGGCACCAGCCTTGTCAACATATGCTAAGCCCCTCCTGGACCAAGAGCCAGGGTGCTGTGGCTACTCTGAATGGGGCCTGTGTCCCAGGGGAGGGACCACATAGGGCAGGTGTGTGGTCCCTCCTGAAAAAAAAAGTAGGCATCCTGCAGAGGCAGTTCAGACTGCTGAGCCAGCCCTGTCAAGGGCAAGACAGGGAAAGCGGAAGATCAAACTTGCACAGAAAGGAGGAAGGGGTCTCCTGGTCAAGGGAACAGGAGCAGAGGCTTGAAGGTGCTGTGGCTACATGTCCGTGAGACCCAAGTGTACACGCAGGACAGGAACTGGGAGGTGAGATGAGGCTGAGGCCAGATCAGGAAGGCTGGAGCATGCAGGCCCAGGAGACTGGCCCTGAGGGAGGGGTGTCTCCCTAAGCCCCAGGCCTGTGCTGTGCAGAAGGTGGGGAGGGGCCAAGGGCTCTCCCACCATACTCCGGGGCTCTGGTCCCCATCTGTGCCAGGCTCCTTTCAAAGCCCTCAGCAGGCACCCTCCAGTCACCAGATGCTGGAAGCCAGACCAGATCGTCCCACCCTAAAAGTTGAGCGTTTTAACAGGAAGAAGAAAACAAAGCAAAAGGTGACTTGATCTGGACCTGAGGGACTTCATGAAGGACCATTTGCACCAGGCCTTGGGCCAACCAGGAGTTTGGCAATCTGACTTTGATTCTGGAGCTCTCAGGAGTGGGGGAGTAGGGCTGGTCACCGTCAGGTCTGACGCTAGAATGACCATTCAGGCATTCGGTAGATGTCTCACAAAGGGGAGATGTGGAGGCCAGGGGACATGCGCTCCTTGGAAAGTGACATCGGCAGATTCAGGGACTGCTCGTGGAGAAGACAAGGGGGGCACCCAGCCAGCCACCTGGCCCGGCTGAACACAACCATCCCCCAGATGGGGACCCTGGAGAAGGAGCATGTTGGGCTAGAGCACCAGGAGCCATCCAGGCAGGTGTCCATAAGGCAGATGGGCTGGCCCATGGAACAGAGGAGAGGCCAAAATGGTTTCAACACTCTCAAAATGTTAACTCCATGGACGAGGGAAGGGATTAAGGAGGAGCCTCTTCCACCCTATCCCGAATCCAAGACCGAGGAGAGACCAGACCGCACCCACCATGTTCAGATACCTTCCTAGTGTGGGAAGAATTGGGAGGTCGTGGTCCTAAAGCTTTGAACAAGGCCCGGGGACCAGCCATGACATGAACAAAGAGGGTGACATGAGAGGCCAACTGGACCTAGGTCCTCCTGCCCAAAAGTATTATCTCCTCCAGGCTTGCTCCACCTCCTCCAACACACACCTTTGACCCAGCCTCAAGGTCAAAAGGGAGTGCAGGGCTGGGAGACAAGGCCTCGACACTGATTTGCTCGGTGAGGCCAGGCAGGTTACTGCCCCTCTCTGGTTCCTCACCGGTGCACATTTTTTTTCCAGCTAAGGAGCAAAACTTCTGTGGCTGCTAGAGAGCTGGAAAAGCCAGGCTGGTGCAGCCAGGGTGAAGCTGAGGATAGCTGTCAGCAGGTCCAGCAATGTTCCCACCTCGCCCAGGCCTGAGCTGGTGCTCCAAGCTCACTCTCACATGTCAGCTTTATCAGTGGCTCCATGGTCACACGACCTGACCGCAAGAGAGCCCCAGCACACCCATCTGAGATATTGCAGACAGGGCCCCAGGACTGGAACTTTCACCGAGATTTCCTTGCCCAGCAGGCATTTCTTCCCTGAGATCTAGGTCCCTCCTGAGGGTTTTTTACATGACTGGGCAAGACCAGACTTCTCTCTAGGACTCAGTTGCCCCACCTCAGCCACAGAGTGGGCCTCTAGGCCCCATCCAGCTGTGGCATTGGCATCTGGGTCTAATGTTTCCGCTTCCCTTTACCTATTCTCATAGCACTTGGCACCCAAGACGAGGTAAGGGAGGCGCCAGAGGCCTGAGCTGACTCCAAGGGGTCTCCTAAGGCTCCAAGTGCCAGGCGGGGGGCATGGACTTTGTCCCAAGCGCTGGGGATCCAAGGAAAGTTCGGAGCGGGATCAAGCCTGTTGTATGAGCCTTCACTCTGGACCGGGCGGCGGTAGGTCGAGAAGGCAAGGCTGGACGGGAGAGGTGAGGGGCTGCTACGCAGGCCCCGGCCATCTCCACCCACTAAGTCTCCCCCTGGGCGGCGGCGCCTGCTGGAGCGGAGGAAGCACTTCCTCATTCCAGAGGCTGCGACTCACAGACGTCGGGGCCGGCGCCCGCCCCCCGCTGCTGCCCAGCTGGGGACATAGGCCCGGGAATGGGGCGCTTTCCCATATTCCACAGCCGAGGTCTTTCTCCTAAGCTCTCCCAGCTCCAGCCGGCTCTAAGAAGTCCAACGAGGCGGCGGTGGCGCGCGCAGGGTCTGGGCTCGATCTAGGTTTTCAAGAAACTCTTGAGTCCCAGCCATCCCTTGCATGGCTTGGGAAGACCGCAGCCCCACTCCAGCAGAGCGGGAACCCGAGCTCTAGCTGCAGGTTTGCAGGAGCTCCGGTTTCGACGCTTTGTCAACCTGTTTGGGGTGTCACTTTACCTATCTGCAAAGTGGGGGCAAGTCAAGATGCGGGGAAGCCCGCGCGAGCTCACTCACCACCACGGCGGTGACCGGTTGGCCCGGGATGTAGGACATCTCGACCCCAATCTGGTAATCTGGTACCGCTCAGTGAAGCCCGCAGCGAAAATCCCAGCGGCCGCGCCCTCTCTGGTTAACAAAGCCAGCCCAGTCCATCCCGCCCCCTTATAAATAGTTTACGAACCTCTAGCCAATCCCCGACCGGAGCGCTGTCTGGGTTTCGGAAGTCCCAGTGCGTGCGTAGAAAAGCGGGGAGGGGGAATGGAGCGTGCTCCCTGCACCCGCTGCGCATGCGCTGGAGGGCGGGCGCGAGGTCCCAGCGCTTGCGCAGCCTGCGCCCTCCCAGCAGCCTCCAGCTCAAGATGGCGCCGTGGGAATCCCTGCCACTGGCTGTGTGAGGAAACGCAGAGTGACCGCGTCCGCCGCCGGGTTCCAGGTAACTGGGCTAGCCTGGGCGGGAAGTGCAGACCTGCCATCGCCTCCACGGCCGGCCCGAGCCCTCAACCTTCTCCGCGTCTTTCGAAGGTCCGAGACCCAGGAGGGGTGCGAGGTCTCGGCCACCCCAGGGGGAGGGGCGGCGTGAACCCAACTCGCCGCGCTCCGAGCGCCACTTGTAACTTGGTTCTCTCCGCAGCCCCGCGTTGCTCCGTGAGGAAGCAGAGGGTGAGCCCCGGCGGATGCGATGGCCACCGTGGTGGCCAAGCGGGAAGGGCCGCCGTTCATCAGCGAGGCCGCTGTGCGGGGCAACGCCGCCGTCCTCGATTACTGCCGGACCTCGGTGTCGGCGCTGTCGGGGGCCACGGCCGGGATCCTCGGCCTCACCGGGCTTTACGGCTTCATCTTCTACCTGCTCGCCTCCATCCTGCTCTCCCTGCTCTTAATTCTCAAGGCGGGAAGAAGGTGGAACAAATATTTTAAGTCGCGAAGACCCCTCTTTACAGGAGGTCTCATCGGAGGCCTCTTCACCTACGTCCTCTTCTGGACATTCCTTTACGGCATGGTGCACGTCTACTGAAACGGGGGCAGGGATGCCATTTGTTTTTACAAAACAGATTGAGAGAGGACTGTTGCCAGAAATTAACACCGTGTAGACTTAACCTAGTTTTTAAATTGTTGGTTCGCTGCTTGTTGTGTAACGTTATAAATAATTTATATCTTAAGACGAGGAGCCTGTAATGTTCTTCAGATTAAATGAAGCGTGAGACCCTTTGTGGAGTTTTTTTCCTACGGTAACGCATACCCCCTGGCTGCCGGGGGTGCAAAATCACCATGTTTTCAGTCTGGAAGAGCTAGGACTGGACCTTAGCTTTCGGTAATTTCTTTGCATTTACACATAGACCATCCTCCGTGGGTACTCTAGGGCCTAAATAAGGAGAGAACTTGTGGTTAACATCCTGAGAACGACAGTTAGTATTTATTGTGTGCCTTATATGCCGGGCATTGTTCCTTGTCCCTCCATTATCTCATTAATTCTTGCAATATTCTTAGGGAGTATATGTGATTACTATCCCCCATTGATGAACTTTAGGCTCAGAAGGATGAAATAACCTCTATCACAGGGGGCACAGCTTGGAAGAGGCAGAGCCAGGATTCAAATGTAGGTCTCTTAATTGTTCTTAACTGTATTGGCTGAGCCCGTGTTTTCAGAGCCTAGCCTTCCCTCCCACTAACCACTACTTTAGGGTGTGAATGGTGGCATTTCCGTTCCATTTCACCTAGTTAGTTAGCTGTCGTTTCCATTTAAAAAAATAATAAATAAATTCAAGCCCTTTTTTTCTAGACTACGTCCAGTGACGATTGAAGAGACTGAATGAGTAAGCTAAACTTTGGGTTTGTCTAGAGTGTGAATGCTTCTGTCTATATCCTAAGCTGTGATCCCTTGTCAGGAGAATTATTTTAGAATAACACGCATACATTTAATTGAGAAACAAATACTGCATTAGAGTTAAGTAATGAACATATTGCTTGTGGAATTTAGTCTTAAATGGGAAGATCAGCCTTACCTGATTTCACAAATATTCAAATTATGCTAAGTGATACTAAGTGCTTCAAACCTAACCCAGATTTAGGGCTGGGGGTGGGGGTAGCTTCTTTGAGGAAGTAACATAGTTGAGACCCAAAGGTTGAGTAACAGTCAGGTTTTACTTGGCAAGAAAGCACATATGTGAGGGTCATGGGGAAGGAAGGAGTTTGGCTCGTATCTGAAGAGTTTAGAGAAGAAGCCATGAGGTAGACCACAGTAGGGAGTTTTGTTATCAAATCAAGCTTGGGTCCTCTCACCTCGCGCAGTAAAGCCCATCTGCTGAGCCAGGTTGTGCTGAAGGAAAGGGCAGTGTTTACTGCGAGCACCAAGCAAGGAGATCAGGCAGCTAGTGCTCAAAAGGCCCGAATGCCCCAGTGGCTTTCAGGAAAAGATTTTTTAAGACAGGGTGAGGGAGAAGGTTTTGGGGTTCAGCTTGTGTATATTCTGATTGGTTGGTGGTGAGGTAATGAGGGGTCAACATCAACCTTCTGCTTTCAGTAGGGTCTGTGGTTTTGAGCAGCATATGGTTAACTTTTTCCACCTGGTGGGGGTTTTTTCGGTATTTGCAAAACAGCTCAAAGGACATGGCTCAGAATATTATCTATAGCTCTTGAGGAGGAACTAAAGGTCCTTGACTTTAATGGCTTAAACAAAGCCAATCTAATCGCATCACTCCTGACTAAAACTACGAGAGTCTCCCCCAAACTGCTATTAGTATCAAGGCCAAACTGTAACCGAGCAAGACCCTATGAAGCCTTCCCAGGACAGAATCTCCTCCGCCTGCCTCTTACATGTAGAAAAACTTTAGCCTGCTATGCCTTCCCCAAGTTCTTACGAATAAATTAAATCAGAGAAGTGAGAAAATGAAGAAAGAAAGGAAAACAGCCAAGCAAGGCAAAAAAACTTATGCCATTAAACATTTCCTCTAAAACAGAGTCACCATGAAGATACGAAGGGGGGGAAATCAGGACACATTTAAAGTTAACACCTTTTATTATTTTATAACCAAATAAAACTGTCAGAAAATACATATGTTGGATAGGTTCCAGAAAATGCGTCCTGTCTTCTCCTTCTCCCTTTTATTTCTGTCCACAGGCCTAAGGGGAAACAGGTGGAAGAAAAGTGTCTTGTAGAGAGTGCTCCTGTGTCCACTGGAGAAGATGCTCTGAGGAGAGTTGAATCATTTGCAGGGAGAGGGGCAGGCTGGAACTAAATGGAGCCCTTTTCCAGACATGCAAGATGCAGTTCCAAGTGGGGTGATTTAAGGACTTCTGGGGCACTTCGGGACATCTGGAGGAAGTCACATTCCCCCTTCTTGACTGGTCCCCTGAGTCAAGAAGGCAGTGGGGAAGGCAGCCCCTGAGAAAGGAACTGATGGGGTTGGGGGGTGGTATAAAAGGCAGCCAAGACTGGTCAGTCCTGGTGACCCCTGTATCAGGAGTAAAGGGCACTTAGCTCTTTCATGGCTGGTCCCCATGATGTCACATAAATAGCACCCAATTTAAAACTTTCCCATTGGCCAGCATCATGATACTCCCAAGGCAAGGAATAGCAGAATTGGTAGGGAAATCCTACACAAATGGCTTTAGGCCAGGGCTTGAACATAAGCATGGACAACTCTTGTGATCCTGAAATGTCAGCATGGAAAGGAGAAGCTGGTGATCATCTTCCTGATGAAGCAGCTGGTGCCTCAAGGAAAAGGGGCTTTTTCCCAAGTACCGCCTGAATAACTGTAGGGAGACATTTCCACTCCGATACAAAATAGCACAACTGTCCCCACGTTATATGGCTGCTGCCAGGCGATTCCAAAAACATTAAAAGAAGCCAGGCCCAACTCCTAAGCAGCTGTAACCCCTGCCTTTTTTACTTCTTCCCAAATGTACAAGTAACATGCTGTGTTAAATCCAAGGGTTTGCCTTAGGGAAAAGTCAACATCATAGCAAATCACCCAGATTTTTCGCTTTTTCTTCAGAGAACAGGTTGGCTTGCTGACTGGTCACCAGGCAGCCCAAGGGAAGGAGCTGCTTCTTTAGAAGGGGTCCTGTTCTGGGGACCACGCCCCTCTGCCCCAGAGGCGGGGCCTCACCAGGGACCTTGAGGGCCCCTCTGACCCTGTCCTCCAAAGGCCGCAGTGGAAGTGTGAAGGAAAAGCCCAGCTGGGCTAACAAGCTAAGTCACAAATCTAAGTGCAACAAGTGTTGGATTACTGATCTGAGTTCTGCT